AGTGATAAAAAGATTGAGTTGTAATGCTTTCACACAAAATAATGTATTTCACTGCTTTCTATTATTATTCATCATCTAGGCTTCTTTAATTTGGACTAGTTACTTCACAATGTGTTCAGTCATGTGCAACTGAAACTAGGTAAGGTCTTTACTGTGAAAATATGTAAGGAATGCAACAAGCTCTCCACACACATGCACTCATCTTACAAATATTAGGAAAGAACAATGACAACATACAAGTGATTTTTAACTGCCATAAATTCTGTATCTGCAAAAATCATACCAGGAACCAAGAGACTAGTTCCTTGTTGAAGACATGTCTTCAATCATGCTCGCCTTTATCTAATACACAGGAAGAGAATCTGTTCCAAGGAGGTGGATGCTTGGCTCTGTTTTTTTCCAGCTTCCTTTGACACTATTCATTTTGATAAGTCACATTGGAATGGGGTTCTGGCTTCTAGTCCCAGTGAAGGGGACTTTCCCCGCTTTTTCCTCAGAGTGAGACTAAAGAGGTTATTTTTTGAAGGAAAAAAAAAAGTGGGTTAAGGAAGATAGGAAAAGGATTTCTGCCCTCTTTGAAGAAATCAAGTGCTTTATCACAATGCAAAAATTAAAAAAAATCTTAATGTTGAAATGCTTGGCTAAATTATGAAGAAGCTGAGTCATGAAATAAACTCATGTGCTCAACTGAACTAGGCTAGGACCTCCACTTTGATCAGATTTACCCCATGTTCATGGGGATGACGTCTAGGTGAAGGCAATGGTGTGTGATGGTTAGAGTGGCTTGCATAGTTAAGACCTGGATTTGCACCCAGACCCCAACATTTAACAGTGTTAACAATGCACATCATTCAACACTCAAATTCCAGGAAAAAAAAAATCATACTTTATAGGTTTGTTTTGGAGGTTTCAGTGTAATAAACCATGTTAACAACTGTAAAAGGTGAAATGAAATAGAGTCACTTAGGTCAAGAGGTTTTAAAAGGGACCTGGGAGGCCATTAAAGAGGTAGGCTTTATGCATGTACTCACAAGGGTAGAACTGTTAACTTTTGAACTGGGCCAAAGCGCAAATGTTCCAAGGACTCTGCAGGGGAAATCTGCAACTTGCTATCATAATGGACTTTTGCTTAGTGATGGCCATAGCAACCAATTATGTTTAGTCAAGATTAGTTCTCTGCCATCAGCACCTATCAAACAACTTATCCAAGCATTCCTTTCTGTCTTTAAAAACCATTGACTTTTGTTTCCTGGTTCCCTAGAAAGCAATTTGGGTTGTTACTCAAATCTGTGCTCCCCAGGTTGCAATTCTGAGACCTCAAATCAATCCTTTTATTTTATTTCAGTTCTGCCTCTTTTCTTGGCCGACACAACTTAACCCAGTTCTTAACATATATTGATTTTGAATTGCTGGCCACTAGATTATGTTTATTCTACTAGTATATGGTCAATACAATTATAGCATCATTACTCCAGTATTCATAGAAACAATAAAATCCTCTCTATGCCTATAAAAATATCCGTGATATGCAATTAACGCAGGCCTTTCTTTTTGGATGATATTACAGAAATACCAGAACAAGTCTGCAATCAAGTCCCAGCAACATGAATTGTTTCAGTATTTGAATTCATAAGAAGGCTGTTATTAGGTAATTAGGTAACAATGCAATTTAGTCAGACAAAGAAATATGCAGGGAACCTTCCAGAATTAAGAGATTCTGAAACTTCATTCAGGTGCATTCATTTTGAACACCTTCTATCTGTCAGAACTGAAGTATGACTAGTAAATAAGATAAATGTGTTCCTGGCACTCACACCTGGAGGAGAAGAGAGAAATGATCAGGGTTGATCAGGGTAAAAATGCAATGCAAAATAGAATGTGTGGAATGAGGGCATTTATCCAAGACATTCTATGGAGGGGGATTGCTTCAAGGAATCTCCCTGTGGGAGGGAGGACCTGAGATGAGCTTGAAAAAGTGAGTAGAACTTAGCCATGTGAAGATTAATAAGAAGGCATTCCAAAATCGTAAGAGACAGACCAAAGACAAACCTCGAATGTCTTTAGACTAAAACTAGGAAAACTTGTGATGAAAAGACACAAGGCAAGACACTTATGCCAAAGCACAGTTTCATTTAAGATACACGATCTTAACAGAACACCTTACATCAAATCTTCTGAAGTCAATGATTTATGAATAATTAAGGAATATGTTTCATAAAATACAACCTATGATTTCAAAGAGTTTATATGAAAGTAAAACCTTATTCTTGATTTTATAATGCTATTAGTCATCCAGTGTTACTTTGCTTTGGAAAAACTGTTCAATCCAAGGGAAATGTGCTCTTTGAAACTGAATGAAAGATAGTCTAGAACAACTCTGTAAGAATTTTGTTTTAATTTTTTTCTCCATTGTAATTTGGAAAGAGGAAAAGAGAAAATGCAAATGCGGTCTTTTAAAAATGTATCTTTTAAAAGATATTACTAATTCTTATTTTCTTGTCACATGTTATGAGTTTTTAGCCGCCCTTCATCCTGTTGTATCATTAGGGTTGATCAGCCTCCAATTCCACAACTTCATATTAGCAAAAGGTATAAACATCTTGAAAGAAGTCTTAAGAAATCATCAAACTCTTTCTATAGCTTTGCTTCTGACATCTCTAAGGACTTAATTTGTCACTTTTTGTTTAATAGGCTTTGAAGTTAAGCATGTGTTGTGTATTTCTGAAATATACAAAAGAGCCTAGGCAAAAAAACAACAAACATGTTTACTAGGAATGAACATTTTTAGTGGTGCAGAAACAAAACTGAGAACAGTATATATTGAACATTTTATTGTCTCCCTGTAATAGGCTATAAGCTCTAGGGCACAACCACATCACAATGGAGTCCCAAGTGCCCTGAGCATTGCCTGCCGTGTGTTCTATAAAAATCCAGGGGCACCTGGGTGTCTCAGTCCATTAAGCGTCCAACTCTTAATTTTGGCTAAGGTCACAGGTCATGATCTGGTTCATGAGATTGGCCCCGCTTCAGGCTCTGTGCTTATAGCATAAAGCCTGCTTGGGATTCTCTCTCTCCCTCTCTCTCTGCCCCTCCCTGGCTCATGCATATGCATGTGAATGCTCTTTCTCTCTCTCAAAATAAAGAAACGTTAAAAAATATGTTCAAAGAGTTAATGACCGAATGAATGAATGAATGAATGAATGAATGAACAGAATGCATAAAAATGATTTGTGATTAAAAATATACTCAGATGTTAATATGTTAGAAATTCAGATTAAAATTTTTTGTCTTGGACAGCCTTTTGACAGGAATTGGGCAGCTTAGCTTCATTTGATGAAATGTCATGTAGTATTTAATTATGAGGGTCTGGTAAAAGACTCTATGAGTATTTTGTTCCAGTGCTTTCACAAAAGTCATTGTGGCTAAAGACAAAGTTAAATCAGTTATGATATCAGGACCAAATCAGTGAAGGCATAAAACAAAGGTAAGTTGGTTCACTAACTGCAGAGGGAACAAAAACACAACAGGTTTTGGGTAGAAACAAAAACAAGCAGCCAGCTGCTGCTACTGTGTTCTTTCTTTCATTTCATGGATTTCACATCCTGGGAATTTCATTCCACTCACCATGAGTTCTAATACATGTTGTTACTTTTAGGTATCGTATTTAGTACCTCAAAATCTTTAATCAGGGGAAGTTTTTCATCAGTTTCTTATAGTTGTATATTAAATCTATTCTAGTTCCTTTAAGATATCAAGTCCCTGAGTCCTAAACACAAGAACCGAAAAAAAAAAAAAAATTAGCTGATACTGTTGGCATGTCTCAAACTAGCGTGTGTGATTTTGGAATCAGAGGGACTGCACACAAAAGAAGCTACTTCCTTCATTGATAGGGGAAAAGATCATTTTAATTAGTTTCTGGCTCCCATGACAACAGGCCAAAGAACTACAGGAAAAACTCGAGGAAGCAAATTCAGGTATCTTGAACCTTAAATATTTAGTAAGTAGCAGTAGATAAAACAGCCAAGGCTAATGTGAGATAATCAGGGCTAACTTCAAAAGAAATTGAATACGTTTTTTATTCAGAAGCCTCTTTTTCTTTTTCATCTTGCATTATATAGTTTTCTCCAACTATTTTTCTAGAATAGATAATTACTATAATTCAAGCATGAACAGAGAACCAACATTTTCTGAAGACAGAAGTAAATAGTTTTTTTGAGAACTCATTTAACTCTGTGATAGAAACAAAAACAATTATGCTGCGTGATGAATAGAATAGATCTGGGGTTTCTTTACTTAATATTCACTCCATGGAAATTTCATGAGAAATTTATAACTCTTTTGCTGTTAACTTCTTTAACCTCTTATTCCTGACAAATAAAGGAAATAAGCCAGATGTAAGAGAAGTCTTAGTACTTTCATCTGCTGTTGAACTAAGGGCTTTTCTTTTCTTAATAACTTCTAATAATGTATTTTATTAATATAAATAATGTACTTATAATTTGCTAAATACTTATAACTTACTAAGAGCCTTCACACGCATCCCCACGTTTTATACTTCCTACAAATCTTTGAGGAAAATATTTGGTATATATAAATAAATATAGATAAATATTATAAATGTTAAGTCCATTAAGCAGATGAGAAAATCCAATCTCAAAGAGATCTGAAAAATAACAAGACCCTCTAAAGTAACAAGACTTATAAATGGCAGAACCAGAACTTGTAGTGAGAGGAGTATAAAATTCATTAGTTTGCCCATTATACCACAGTAAATGTGTACATTTTAACATATAACGCCAAATACCATCACCAGTTATTAAGCCATTTCTTGCCATTCTTCCATGTGTTTTATAATTATTAATCTGGTGAGCAACAAATATCATCCACTTACGGTTAAGTAGAAAGTGCTCGAAAACCCAAACTTAATTTTAGAGTACCTGTTTACTTCACCGTTATTACGTCCTATGGCGTTTTGATAAAAAAGTCTGGCCAACACTCACCTCTTTTTGCCGGTACTTTATAGCCAATTTTAGTCTTGCGAGATCATTTCCGCTTTGTTCTTCTATGAGACTACTGTCATCTCTGTAATTAAGAATGATTTCCAGTTCTCTGGAGCTCCTTGTCTGATCCAGTAGGTCCTTAGCGAACTGTTTGCACTGTCGGGACAGCTCTTCATACTCTGACTTGAATTCGTTCTCCACCTTACTCAGTTCCTGAAGCTCCCAACTTAACTGAAAGGCTGTGAGGAAAGGGTCTTCACTTGACAGTGCGATGAGAGAGGGGCTGGCCAAGGCCTTGTAGATGTTGAGTCTTGAGCGTGAATGGCGGAGGCTATCCACATCTGAACTGGAGACGCATTCGACACAGTTACAGCGGACCTCGTGGGGTCTGGGCACCGAAACTCCTTTTTGAACTAAAAGCTTTATTATCTCATAATTATTTGTATGGGCTGCCAAAATGATTGGTGTAATGTCTGGAGTGAATTCAGAGAACTGCTTATCAAGGAGTATGGGAGGCACCTAGAAAAAAGAAGAAAGCAGAGGTGATGAATATTTATTCATTTGTTCAAGCCTGTGAATTTCAAACAGCACGCTATAGCAACGCTGAACAAAGTTCATAAATCTTTTGCCAGGCTTTTTTTTTTGCAGGAGAGAGATGTATTTTTTCTATTTCTGCCAGAAGACAAGAGAAAATTAGAAAAACTTTTCAATATAACGACACATTATTCTTTTTTTTTCTTTAATTTTTTTTTAACGTTTATTTAGCTTTGAGAGAGATCCAGACAGAATGAGAGTCGGTTGGGTGCAGAGAGAGAGGGAGACACAGAATCTGAAGCAGGCTCC